ATAATGATGCAAGGAAGAGAAAATTTCTTCAAGGATATGAAAGGAATGTAATGTAGACCAGAGTCTGTGTTTTTACACAAATCGAGTGCCGTCAATAGTTCCTCTAAGGTAAATGTTTTGTGCAGTTTTTAATTGTTATGCACTTTTTATTGTGAAGAACTTTTCAGGTAATGTGCCTGATAATATATTAGCTGAGTATTGTCTTTTAGTTTTTTTGTTCATACGTATCAGCTAGTAAATTGGCAATGCGTAGTGTGTAATTGATAACGATGTTCTACTAATTATACTTTGAACACCGAAACTTGTCATGCGGCCCTGAATTTGTCGTATTTTAGTCCATATTTGGGCAGTAGATTGTCCTTTACTTTTGCAATTGCACAAAATATTTATTATTTCGAGTTCTTCGGTATCTATTTAATGCTTTTTGCATTGACGAACTGCGTATTTACAATCCTTATTCCACCATGGTTTTTCCTTCCGTGTATAGGTTGTAGAAGTTTTGTCAATATGTAGTTCAGCTGCAGAGATAATGCAGTGGATAACAAGGCTGAGATATTCGATTCGTCTACGTCATCAGAAAGAGACAGAATTAGGAGTTTTTTTTTTTTCGAGATACAAACAGAAGTCAATCCAATCTGCATTGGCGATTCGCCATTTAGGTACATGATAATTGCTAGATTTATTCTTGCTATTTGAAATCAGAATTAGAAAGTGATTGCTATCAGAGAGAATGTCGAGGATATGTCAGTTTAATCGAGATGATGACTATGGTCAGAAAAGGTCAAATCAATTGCTAAAAATGTGCCAGAAGATAATTAAAGTATGTACTTGATCCGGTATTTATTAGGCAAGTGCTAGAGTAATTTAATACATTTTCAATGACTTTTCTCCTTTAAATGTTTTATCAGAACCCCACCTAATATATGGTGCATTCAAGTTGCCTACAGAAAGATAAGGATTGAGGAGTTGATGGATTAAAATATACAGTTCCTCTTCTAAAAGTTTAAAATTAGGTGATACGTAAATGCTACATACCTTAATTTTGCTGGAATACCAGATGGAAACTGGGATTACTTCAATGCCAGTAGTGAGTATATGATGTGTAGAAAACAGATCTTTGAAAGTTGTCAAATTTTGGTATTTTTAAAATTTGTCTCTTGTAAACATATAAAATCTGCCGCTGTTTCTGCGATCCATTTTTGGATTCTTTCATATCTCGGATAGAATCCGTCACAATTCCATTAAATTAATTTGAAAAGTAACTAAGTAATTAAACAGTAGATTTTTGGGACTTTTATGATTCTATCTGAGAGATAATTCTCATCCGTAGATAATTGTGATACTTTAGCGTTGCTATTATCTTTGGTTATATATTTGTTTAATTGTTTCGTTGTTCTAGTAACTTTACCCTTAACAGATCTTTCTGTTAAAAAAATATATATTTTATACATATCGTTTAACAAGAAGTGTGTATCTATAGTAATTTGCAGAGATTCCATTATTGGATTGCCGTTGCCAAATGAGTTTTCGAGGAAGGCAATAATCTGATCAGCTGTTAACGTATAGTCATTCGGATTTGCGTTACAGGAATTTTGTAATTTTCTTGTGTTTTTTGATAGAATAGCTTTATTTGTGGGCTGCATCCTAGGTTTCTTCTTAACTAATTTTGATTTATTGGTGTTGAGGGAGTGCACAGAAGGGGGCATTACATCAACGTCAAATGCCAGGTCTTCAATAAAATTTGTGTCATTAGTTGATGAATGCAGTCGTTTGACACCTGGTGCTGATAATAATGTAGATGTTTGAAGATGCTCAGAATTTGTATCAACTATTACAGTTGTTGACAGTGTGGATGATAAAGTATTTCATTGCGGCAATGGGGTTGTTTGTGTATTTGGGTTGGGACATTTGTTTGCTGTATGTCCAAGCTATTCACAGGAAACATTTCATACGATCTGTGTATTAGAATATTTTATATGCGATATTCTCATGCGGTTCTCTTTTCTATTAAAAGTGTCGTAGTTCTCAATAGCTAGGGTAACGTAAACTTGACGTCTGAAACTCATAATATGTGAGTCCTCATCTCCTGGGATACCTGCCTTTATTTATGGTATAAGCGAGACCATTTGAAGTCCGAAATCTTCTAGTGCCTGTTCTATGACTTCATTAGGTATGGATGGACAAACGTTTAATACTAATATTCTTTTAGCTGGAAATACTAGTCTACTTATACTCAGCTTAACGGAATTTACAGTTACAGTGGAATGCTCTAATATAAGCTGATCTACAACCTCGGTTCTTAATAAGTCGATACACACTCGGTTGTTTGAGATTTTCGATGCAAAACAAACATTTTTGGGATTAACGATGTTTCCAATTGCTTACGTAGTCCAATAACTCCAATAAGTATTACCACAGATATGATATTAGAAGGAGGCAAGGAACTAATTGCAATTGTAACTAAGCTTGTGGACAGTTATTTACATCAGGGCAAAGTCCCCAAGAGCTGGAACAACTCTAAAGTAATCTTATTAAACAAGAAAGGTGATGAAAGAGTAATGCTAGGTATATCACTTAAGGACAAGAAAACAAACACATGGATAAGACAAAAACCAAAGTCACCGATGTGGTGCAAAAATCATTAAAGTTGAAATTGGAATACGCTGGACATGTAGCTAGGAGCAATCTAAACAAATGGCAGAGATCAATTTTAACCTGGAGACCATACCAACACAAAAGACCAAGAGGCAGACCTCCTAGGAGATGGACAGATTATCTGAAAAGGACTGCCGGGAAAAATTGGCTACAAGTAGCGTACAATAAAAAACAATGGAAAGGAAGACTTGAAGAGGCTTATGTTCAGATATGGACGTGAATGGCTAGACAGAGAAAAAGAAAAAGAAAGTCCAATTACACAAGATTGGGATGAGAATGTATGATAATTGCTTGTTCTTTTATTGGAAAAATAGGTTTAGGTCTGGTTTTAGCTGCACCAACGTATGAAGTTGTAGGTGTATTTTTTATCCGTGATTTGTTTTTTACGTTTGAAGTAGTTATCCATATTGATTATCCATAATTGTTGTAATTATTGACCAGTATCTAGATAACAACACCTTGTGTTGTAAAATTTGCGTAAAGCGAAAGGTAATTTGAAATGTATTAGTGTTTCACTAATTAGCACAAAAAAGTTCAAAGATAAACAAAATAAACAGTTCAATCGAACAATTATAGTCAGATTTTAACTAATATCTTCACGCTTTCTTATAGGCAAGAGTTAACACCAGTTTCCAATACACTACACCTTTATGTTTAAATGTCCAAAATTTAGTAAAATTACAATCCGAATATTCACTTAACTTAAATAACGATTCTCACTCAACATACAGAACGACCTTCATACGTTCAGACATTATTTTTAATGGTAAAATTTGTAAAATATGATTTTCTTACCAAACTGTGAACCTAATAATTAATCAAAAATACTATTTAGATTTAAATATTTATGTTTTAATTTTATACAGCTAACCCAAAGAGGTTGATGCTGTTCTTAATCAAATAAAAAAAATGGAACAATGATATAATCAGAATGACAACGAAACGATACCCAAGATAACAAAAGACTAATCACCATTGCGTAGAAAAAGTCTTCTTTTTCTTTCTTCTAGTATGTAGGCTTTATAAAGCCTGTTTATTCTTCAATATTAGCATCCTAAATTGTTTCAATTGTCGTACCATCTTTTTCTTGGTCTGCCATTACTTCTTCGTCCATTTGGTGACTTATCTTGTGCTATTCATACTATTCTATCCTATGCTATTCTACTGATGGTTTCGTTTCACTTGTTTTTTCGTTTTGTCACTTATCTATTTGATGTCTTTTATATTGCATGGGCAGAATTGTCAGGTTTTAGAGGTGTCAGGTCTTGTCTTCGCCGTGTATGTTAATATAGGTCTAATTGCTGCTTTATAGATTCTTGTTTTTGTGTCTTGTCATAGGTACATTCTTTCAGATCGTGTTATTAAAAGAACCCGCCGCTTTAGTTGCTTTTAAGCTTTGTTGTCATATTTCTTCTTTAACATCTCCTTAACTAGTTATATCTATTCCCAGATATCTAAACCTTGCCTCTTGCTTTCTTATTTTCCCATCAATTTCAATTTTACATGGTAGTGGGTATTTATATGTTTTTTCTGATCATATTATCATATTGTATTTCTTAACTTTTGTATTGAAGATGTGTTAATCTTTGGAACTCGTCTTCTATCTCGGCGATTAATGCGGCGTCGTCTGCATAACCTAATATATGGAATTCGTTGTTCCTCATTCTGCATCCATGACCTTTACGTAATGCTTGTATTATTTCGTCCATTATTACATTAAAGAGAAGTGGTACCGAGTCACCCTGTCTGATTTCGCTTTGGACTGGTATACACTGTGTTAGTTTTGCATTTATATTTGCCTGTATTCGATTGTGGAGGTAGGTGTTTTTGATGGTTTGTATAATATTGATTGGTATGTTTCTTTTATAGAGTAGGAGTAAGACGTCTTCGATCGGATGCGATCAAAAGCCTTTGTCAGGTCTATAAAACATACTTATGCTGGTTTATTGTACTCGCTTTTCTGTGATTTGTCTTAGTACAAATACGGCATCTACGCAGGCTCTTCCGGATCTGAATCCTTGTTGTGAGGGGTAGAAAATGCGTAGGAGAAAATAACACGAAGACATAATTCAAGAAAATAGAAACAGGCAGAATTACCCAATAAAGTGATAGAAAGAGAAGTTGGTTTGTTTTATTTAGATTTATATCGATGTTTACGTATATACTATAGAAAATTTTATGAACCTTGTTTATTTCAGAAATATTTTATTAGAATATAAAATTTTATCAAAATTATTTTTTCCAAGTTTGATACCCATAGAAGTACTTATTTTTAGCTTTTTCTCATGCATATAAACTGGTCTGTAGATATAACGTCGAACTTATCATTTCTGTTTTTTTTTTAGAGTCTGGTTGGTGGTTTGCAAATTGTTTGGACAGTAATCTTAATGGAAAGTATATGAATATAGTATTTGATGACACATCCCATCACCTTGGGCTTATTTGGCCGTCATTTACAGACAGTACTGAAAATTTAGCAGGATCAAGAATGATGATACGAGCACCTACTACTCGTACCACATAAAACCTAAATCAAAATATTGTCCTGCTCAGAAAATATAAGTTTTAATGCTTTGTTGTAGTGTACTTTCAAAAAGCATTAATTTTAAATTAAAATGATTAAGTGAATAAATTCTGATAAATAAAAATGTCTTTTTTAATTTCCTGTTCAAAGGACCACTTATTTGTAATTTGGTTAAATTTTGTAACGTAAGCGAATCGTATGAAGTAGATAGACTTAATAATGAAATTGAATTACATAGTTATGGCTTATTTTCTTTACTATAGTCCCTTGAACAGCGGACTCTATGAAATCTACACAGTAAGAGGCTAAAGTCTTGCCCCCTCCCTGTCAACCAGTTTATTTTAAAGACATTTGGTATGTAAAGGAGTAGTGAAGCACAATACATGATGTCGTATCCTGTTGGCATCACTTAGCCTCTCCTACTCAATTCCTATCTTCACCTCCAAGCTGGTACATACCATTAACCTGAGCAACCCCACTGGAGACTGGATAACCAACCCCAGTGGATAGTGGGGTCAGGGCAGACGAAGAAGGGAGCCTTGGTCCTCCGATGAAAAGGGGGTGAGCCTTGTAGAACTCAATTGTTGCGAATACAATGACTAATGAAACAAACGGACGGATCTCACAACGACGAAGTCAGCACAGAAAAATGGACATGATTATGGATTTAAAATTTGGAACCTGGAACGTGCGGACCTTCTTAAAGGCAGGAGCTATGATAAGTATTGCAGAAGAACTTGAAAAATACGGAGTTGAAATATTGGCACTGTAGGAAATCAGATGGAAGAGCCAGGGAGAAATTCAGAAGAATAAATTCTCACTATACTACTCCGGAAATGAAATGAGACAAGGGGAAAGAGGAGTAGGATTTATGGTAACCAAAAAACTGCGGAAAGCCATTATCGCATTTACACCAATATCAGATAGAATTTGCACCATAAGATTTAAAGGTAAATTTCATAACGTGACAATGGTTAATGTCTATGCACCGATGGAAGAGGCTGATGAAGAAGACGTTGAAAGATTCTATGGAGAACTACAGGATGTATGTGATAAAATCCAAAGACACGATGCTGTTATAACGTTAGGCGATTTTAATGCTAAACTGGAAAAAGAAAAAACGTTTGCAAATATATTTGGGAAACACAGTTTGCACACTGAAACCAGTCAAAATGGACTCAGGGTACACAGTTCGCAGCAGCAAATAATTACGTAGTTGTCAGTATTATCTTCCAGAGTAAAGATATCCATAAAGGAACATGAAAAATACCAGGAACTAACGAAGCCAATCAAATTGACCATATACATATCGCGGGGCGAACTCTGACTCAGATCACTATCTTGTAGGGGCAAAATTACGGCAGAAAATAGCGACAGTAGCAAAGGGGAAAAATATTCAAATCAAAAAATGGAATGTCGAAGGATTCAAAAGCTCAACAAAGAGACAAGATTACAGAAATGCTCTCCAAATAAAACTCAACCGAACTAGAGAGGAAGATACTGCAGAGGAGGAATGGAGACAATTAAAAACAATTATAACGGAGTCAGCAGAGGAAACTGTCAGAAAAGCAAAAAGGCCAAGAACTGCGGAATGGTATGATGATGAATGCAGAACTGCAGTGGAGGAAAAAAGGCAAGCTAGGCTAAACCAACTTTACCAAGAAAAACAAGAAATAGCAGTGAGATTTATAATGAAAAAGAATACAGGCGACTAGAATATGCAGAAGAAATAAAAGAGAGGCTATGAAAAAACAAGTATAAGAAATCGTAAAGCATAACAACAGACGCGAAAGCAGAAAATTCTATTAATGCATAAAAGAAAGTACACAGTCATTAGGACCAAAACTAACGATATGCAAAGACAAGGACGGAGAACTACTAACAGAGAAGCAAAAAATTATAATGAGATGGAAACAATATTTCGAAGAAAATCTAAATGCAGACAACGAAAATGATCAGAACAAGACAATATATTATACGGCGGAGCTGCACATCGAAAATCCGAGTTATGAAGAAGTAGTTCAGATAATAAATAAACTAAAAAACAATAAAGTACCAGGAACGGACGGAATTTCGGCAGAATTACTAAAGCATGGAGGATCCGAACTCTGGGAAAGAATCCATTACCTAATAACATTAATATGGACGAAGGAGCAAATGCCATAGGAATGGACAGTTGGCCTCATACAGCCAATATATAAAAAAGGAGATAAGAGGGAATGCCAGAATTATAGGCCAATTACATTGCTAAATGTAATATACAAAATTTTTTTTGGTATAATCTACAATAGATTATTAGAATACTCCGAAAATATAACTGGTGATTATCAAAATGGATTCAGATCAAATAGAGCCCCTACAGATAACATATTCATACTAATAACGATACAAGAAAAAGCTTATGACTAGTGTGAAAAGAGACAGAATGCTGGAAGACCTTTGTAATCTAGGTATACCTAAGAAATACATCAGCCTTATAAAAATGACGTTGCAGGGTTCAAAAGCCGCAGTCAGAGTAGATGGAGAACTGACTCCCTGTTTAACATCAACATGGGAGTAAGACAGGGAGATGCCCTATCAACCATGCTATTCAACCTAGTTCTTGAGGCAGTCATCAGAAAAACCAATATAACCGGCCATATAATCACCAAATCAGTACAAATTACTGCATATGCAGACGATGTAGCTATCATTAGTAGGAATAAGCCACGACTAAGTGTTCAAACAAATTGATCCTGAAGCAAGAAAAAGAGGTCTCAAAATAAACGAAGCAAAAACGAAGTATATGACAGTCAAAATAATAAGTGACAATGAAAATAATATCACAATAGACAACTATACTATCGAACGAGTGGATGCCTTTACATATCTCGGCACAGAAATCAATCAAAAGAACTCCGTAAGTAGCGAAATTAATGCACGTATTTCTAGCGGGAATCGTACATACTATGCTAATAAAAGATTGATGACATCGAAATTATTAGACAAAAGAACCAAAATGATTATCTACAGAACACTGATTAGACCCATAGTAACCTAGGGATGTGAAACTTGGGTAATGACGAAAAAAGATAAAGCCCAACTCGGGACATTCAAGAGAAAAATACTGAGGAAAGTATATGGCCCGGTACAAGGGAAAGATGGCACATAAAGAATCAGGAGAAACGACGAGGTCAATGAGTTAAATGAGACATATGACATTGTAAGATTTGTGAAAAGTCAAAGACTGTCATGGCTGGGACATGTGCAGAGACAAAACGATGCAAAAACAATAAAGAAAATGTTACAATGGAAGCCCATAGGAAGGCGAAAAAAAGGAAGGCCCAGAACGAGATGGTTGGATGACGTGCAAGACGACTTGAAAACAATGAACATAAGACAATGGAGAAGAAGGGCACAAGAGAGATCTGAATGGAAGGACATAGCCAGACAGGCAAAGACCCAACTAGGGTTATGATGCCAAAAGGAGAAGAAGAAAAAGTGCTAAGGCACAAATGTATGATTGATTTTATCTTCACTAATAGAAAAATGTACCCAAAGCAGATTCTGGATATACGATTTGGTTGTATACCACTCTTGTTAAGATTTGGTCTATTCACACATTTCTGTTTTTTCTGTTCTTTGTAGTACGATAAATGGCCTGATAGGAGTGTGATAAGACACACTCTCTCTCTTTTTTAGCTTGCTGATGCCCACTATATTCCAATTCACTTTTAAGAGTTCTTCTTTCATTTTTTCGTATCCTTCCTCAGTAGGGAGTGACCGAGAGATATGTACCTACCTATATATGGCGATGTTGAGGTATCCTTTTCTAAAAAAAATTGTTAAAACTCTTTTGTTAAAAAAATTTGATTATTATATATAAAAGATATTTCATATATAAGGTTAAATTCTACAGTATTTTCATAAAAAAGGATATCCATAAGTTTTTTGATTATCTAAATTGGCCATATTATCACCTAGGAACCATTTCAAAATTTTTGTACCAATCTCTTTTGTAAACAAATAACACGTAAGTTTTGTTAATTTGTATTATGTTATATACTATGTTCTTGTAAAATCTGTATTTTTGATAACTGTTTGTTTGAGACAAAAATAAACGTTTGATTTGTTTCTCTGATCTATTTTGAGTTTTATTTGAAAAAGATATGTTTTTTATGTTTTGATTTTTTAAATAATTAATTTTTTAGTCACAAACTAGTTGTTATACTAGTTATAATTAGGCACCCCCTTGAGTACCCTTTTGGGTACTAATTAAGTACCCCTTTGTTTCATTTTTTGTAGTTGCCCCAATCCAATCCCCTTATATTTCAACTTATCCACGACCCAGCTCTCCAACAAACCTCTGAGTGCCGTACGCACTTCTACCCCAGGTTCTTACTCTGAGGTAAGCAAAATATTATAGTTACGCTTTTCATCCTTTTTGTAAACAGTTCTCAGTGTTTATTTTTTATACGCACGGCTACATAATCCCCAAAGAACCACTACCAATGTACCAAAGATGCCCAACACTTTCCACATCTAACCATATAATAATAATAGAATATCCAGAGTACACCTCAGCCAGGACGATATTTAAGATACCCAACAGCTTGAAAGAAGTACTGGTTACAAAATTCAATGAAGTTCTGTCTTTTTTAAATTACTGTAAACTCTTTAATAAATTATGATTAAATTTTTGTTACAAGTACGTACATGTACATTGTAACATATTGCTGTAAGTCATGACTTTTAAAATGTACTTTATTTTCTCTATTTGTATAATTAGCCTACCACTAATAATCCCAGTGGTTGATGCGCATAAATAAAATAAAATAAAAAATAAAGTCGCTAGGAAAGAAAAAGAAAAAAGAAACTATGCTGGTGGAAAGTCCTATGTTAGTAAAAAGGATAAGATTGTTCCTTGCAAAATCTTAAAGTGTCGTGTAGAAAATTTTGTTGCGTGAAATGTAGTTCAAAATTATATGAAGCTCAGAGGGAAGCTAACTTGATACTATCTT